AATCCTGGGCATGGAGTGTTACACGACTTCATCTTTATAGCTTATAAACGCATATGGTCCTAGTTAATTTGTGTATCTACATATATAAGAAAACTCATTCGATCTTTACAAAATTGTTCATGATTGACAGTCACATGTGAAAGTATAGAGAACAAACATGTTTGGTAAGCTAAAATGAAATACATACCTTATATTTGTGATATTGATCACATGCTATGTCAGCGTCTCCTCCAGGTCCATCTCCTACCATACATTTAAACCAGAATTGTGTTCATTAATGAGTAATAGCCCCATGAAAATGACTTATTTTGTTCAATAAATGAGCAGAAAAGAAGAAGTGATACACATACCAGAATGAGCATAGGTATCCCAAATGCTTGGTGTCCTGCCATCTTGCTTAGCAGCTCCTTCAACCTTTACATTTTGGCTACATCAACTGTTAAGCTTCTATAAACAAACCCTCTATCTCAAACTAAATAAACCAAAAAAGGGTCCAAAAAAGAGAGAAGAACCTGATAAGCAGTGGTGCCAGATCCAAAAACAAACGTAGGTGGAAAATCGTATCTGCTATAAGAATTAGCAAAAGCAGCAGCAGCTCCTATACCTGTTGACTTTAAGAGCATCAGCAACAATAGCCCATTTACGAGACCCAAATTTGACATGTTTTTCCCCTTCTTCTTGGGTTCTGAGGATCAAAACTAGAGTTTATATTCAAAGCGATCTGTGCAGAGAAAGCCCCAGAAGCTTGTGAAGCCCGACAGCGATGGCGACGGCGATCCCTTCAATGCGAGAGGAACCACTTAATTAAAGCTCTCTGTTTGTGTGAATGGAAAAGAGCTTCGAATTTAAAAGTATTTATTTTATTTTTTAATTTGATTTTTTAAAATTTCCGGACCGTTTAATTCTCCAGTCTCGTAATTCTTTGAATTAATTAGAAAAAGTGAATTTTTTAAATATAAAGCAAATAATTAAAACTTTTAAAACTAAACCAAACCAAGAACTTATTTTTTTTATTTCAATAGAGAATTATTGTCTATTTTATGTCTCTATTATTAAAAAGTTTAATAATAATCCTGCATAATTAAAAATAAATAAATAAATAAAATTAGAAGATAAACTGGGTTATCCGAAAGTTCCTAATTTTGTCTACAAATTTCTATGAAATTACCGAAATTTTGACTTTTCTACTATTTAACAATTATTGATGATATAATTAAAAATATTTATAGCATTAAAAGATTAGTTTTTTCTTTTTATTTAAATAATGACTAAATTGAAAATATTTGTTTATCATTACTTTTACCAAGCAAAACGACGGAGGTTCGGTGCGTTTCATGCAAACAGCCGGCTTTCCATATAAATAATAAATATTAATTAATTAGACTTTAAAAAATTAATTAAATATTTGATCGGTAGATATGACGAATATATCGACGGGAATGACTATACTAATTAACATCTCATAATTTCATCTCTCTTAATTATTTAACTAAAAAGAAAGAAAAAAAAAAAAGTATATGAAGGTTTAACTACTACCTCCCGGTTTAACTACTACCTCCCTCGAGATTCAGTGGCCTTGAATGTGGCATGCCTACAACTTTGTTTGACCTATAGCTAGGGGAAGTCGTTTATTGCACGTTTTCCCATCAACCTAGAAGCATCATCAAAGGTCTCTATTCAAATAGAGGCGTTTCTATAGGATGAAGTTTTGGCCCATGGAAAGCGGAAGGTTATATCTAACATTGATGCATTTGGTCATATTATCAAATCAAATAAACCTTTTTGGTTTGTAACAGTCAAAGCCCATCGTTAGCAGATATTGTCCTCTTTCGGGTTTCTCTTCAAGATTTTTAAAACGGTCTGTTAGGGAGAGGTTTCCATATCCTATAAAAATGTTTCATTCTCCTCACCAACCGAGGTGGGAACTCACAATCTACTCCTCCCCCCATTTCAAGGGCCAGCGTCCTAACTGGCACTCGTTCTCCTCTCCAATCGATGTAGGATCACATGTTTGGTAAAGATGGCGACAAGAGGTTGGATTTGGTTAAGATGGTCTCCTGGATTTGGTATTTTGTTCGAGCGAAACACTTAAGGATCGAGTTTAATACATACTACATTGGTCGAACTATCAGGGTATTTGGACTCAATGACAAGAGTGAGTTTCAGAGAGCCTATTTACTTAGTGCTCTACCAAAAAGAGTGCTTATAGAAAGACTTGTTCTCACTAGAAAACACCTAAACTCACCCTGCAAATACTAAGACCATCCAGACTTCGCTCAATTGGCCCTACAAATCTCTAAGAACATAGTCTTAGAGCATTGCTTTCATTAAATGAAGAAGGGGAAACAATACTCCCACTATAACAGATCAATTCATCATATACAAACACAAGATTATACGCACAAAATACCAAGGTTTTTGATTTCTTTCTACTTATCTTTTAAGGATTGCTCCATTTGAACTTCCAACTTCTTTCGCCCCATCATCCTCCAAGGTTGAAAGCTATGCTATGTCCCATCTTTCCATAGCAGCTACAGATAAATGAAACATGTACAACTCAAATGAAACTCTTAGGAAGTAATATAAGAGCACAGAGATCATGTCCAATTCATGAAAAACAGGCCAAAAGGGAAAGATATTGATATCAAGGTATAAAATGGTATAGACATAAGAACTACCAAAACATTGCCTCCATGTATTTCTCGAGTTCCTATGGATTTGAACGAGGAATTAGAGCAAACCCAGAAGTGAAATCAAGTGTATAATGGCAGATCCGTCCAAGCTCCAGAGACATGTCCATTCTCGCAGACATAAGCTCGAACAACTGGCTCTCCATCATCATGGTACCCAAAAACTCGCCTCAAACAGAAGGCGGAATGCAAATCCCAAGTCTCGTTGCAAGAACAAAACGCACAATTCACATCAATTTTGTTCCTATTGCCATCCCTTATCGTTCTCCAGACATGAGATCCCTTGAAGTTCTTGAAAACGCCTCTGAAAATCATGTAATTACGCTTCTCTTCAATGTGAACACATCCAGGCCAATCACAAATGTACAGAGAATCGCCGCGAAATCGGCTACGAAGCAGTTTGTTTCCTTCTTCCCTGCTTAAGTTCCAAACACCAGATGCCAAATGCGATTTCATGGACCTGCTGATTCTTCTCCTCTCCGAAAGATAAAATTCCCTATCCGCCATAAAAACGCCTTTCTCCACTTTGGTAACACCGATTTGGGGGTCGGGAACATCGGAGGCTTCAGAATCATTATAAACAGTATCGAGATACAGATCATCGTAGAGAGACCAAGCACAATCAGAAGCAGAAGCAGAGGCAGAGAGATCAGAATTAACCTCAAATAGAGCAGTAGAGGATTTCGATTTCGTTTCCGTTTCCGATAGGTGAGACGCGACCAATTTCATGTAATTTTCATCAGGACCAAGCTCACGGCCGAGGCCGAAATCGGAATTCTCGAGAAGAACACCGGAATGGAGAAGACCCGGACAACAGACAGCAAGCTTATGAAGGGAGGCCCATCCACCGGGGGGAATAGAACCGCCGACGGCAAGATCAGCAACGAGAGAGGGGATGGCCTTGGAACACTTATTCTTCCAGCAGATGTTGCGGATAATAGAGGAGAATTTGGTGGAAACACAGGCCAATCGAGCCCAGTAGCGGGGATCGTCTTCGAGCTTGAAGAAGATGTTGAGAAGAATGTCGTCGGGAAGGGAAGAAAAGGCAGAATCCGCCATTTCTGAAAGTGGGAATGAATTGAATCAAGAAATGGTTGTCGTTGGGAAGATTAAAAAGGGTGAGATTCGAATAGTATGGGTGTGTTGAAGCGGTCGGTGGCGAATGTGAAGACTGTCCTCACCATTTGCATCCACAAACGGCCCTCTGGTTTTGCGTCCACACAAATCCCCCAACTTTTCATCATAAAAACACGGACAATTCCTACAAATAAATTAATAATGTACTTTTTTTTCTTTTTTTTTTCCCCTTTTTTATTTTAGCCACCATGTTATGATTCAGTAAAATTATTTTTATGTTCTTAATTATGTTTTATGCATGAATCTCTGTTAATTTTCTTAATTTCTTAATTTCTTAATTTCTACTTAATGGACAAAATGATCCAATTTATGGAATGACATCGAGATTTTGAGCATAATGATTTTTTTTTATTATTGTACTTATTTAATTCTTTTTTTTACAGACAAATATCTTAGGTCTGAGCGTGTTTGGATGTATATGGGACGGGAGTGAAAAGGATTGTGAAAGTGGGGAGTTTAGAAGTTCATACATAGACATTAGAATTAAATATCTTGAGTTTTTAGGTCAAGTTTAAAAAGTAAGCGATATAAATTAAGACAGGTGGTTCAATTAAAGTCCAAATTTGAGACCTTTACGAGTACTCCAATTGGGCGAGAGTTTTAGGTCATTTCTATGTTAAATAATTTAAATCTATTATTATCTCTACCGCCTTCTTATCTAATCAATGACAAAATATATTACCATCGCTTACTCCATTATCTAATAATGCAATGATATTAATTTGCGAGAGGATGCAAACATAATTATATTTTTGAACATATCTAAATATAACACGTTGAAATTAATCATAGTTGTATTTAATCCATCAAACTAGAAAATAAATATCCGAAGTTAAAAAGTTAATAAAAAAATCAATAGAATTAATGTAAGAAAGTTAATAAAGAAAATTTGATGGGAACCTTAGTTGAGAAGAGTTGAAAAAAAGTAAAAAAGAGATTCAATCGATCTCTTATTTCCTCGAGAAGATTGAGGGAATCGAATATAAAAAGGGAAAAAATAAAGAATTTAATTTTTGGGATCCGGGACATAAATGTCTTTTCATATTCAATCAAGTCTTAAAAAACTAGCTTTCTGAAATGGCCCATTTTCACAAACTAAAATGACATTTTCAATTTTGTAATAATTTATTTTTTGAATTATTAAACACGAAAATATATTAATGAATTTTATAAATGGCTTGTGAATTTCATACCGGATTCAGGAAAGACAGAAAAGAATGTCATTAACAAGTCAAAAATTGTTCAAATAACAACGCATGTCCATGCATTCTTCATTATTCAATCTTTGAAGAACGATGATTATGACTATGCATGAGCAGCTTCAACTTGTTTACCCTCTTTGGCCTCCCGTTCGGCTGCTCTTAGCTTACGCTTCTCCTCCTTGTAGACACGGTTTCTTCTTTGGAACTGTAAGGTATGGCCCAAACAAACAAATGGAATTAGAACGGATTCTTGCAAAGCGGGCAGAATCATTTTTTATCCATGTGTTCCTATTCGTTAACAATGAAACCATTCTCTTATCAAGCCTAAAAAAGTAATTCTTAAGAGCCTTCCATAAATCAACTCACTAATATATTCATATTGAGTAGAGAGATAAATAACAAATATGATAGGTACAACTTAGAAATCTGAGCTCCATGTCCAGATATATACCTCATTATTCAAAAATGGAAGAGTTGTCTTAAGTGAATGATATAACGATTTTGCAAAAAGAAATGATGCAAAAGAAATGTACATAAGCTTAGAAGTTCGATTTCTATAAACTATGATTTTAAACATACCCTCTAGAATCATCATGATTGAATACCTCACTCAATTAGTAAATATTAGAATTCAAGTCACCATCAAAACATGTTTAACTGCTTTTATCTTGTTCCACAAATTCATTTAACTAATTTATATGTTAATAAATACAACAGCAAGAATAACACAACAAACATAATCTAACCAATTTATGTGTCAAGGTCAAATTAGTAGTTGAAAGAATCAAATACCAGCTCCACTCACTCTAAACAGCAGTAGTCTTAATTTTTGTTTCTTTAAAGACGTGGTGCATGACTAATTCTATGGAATAATCGCAAGTACTATGTTGTGTCAGGATACTAGATAAATATTTCTAGAATGTTAGGTAGACGGCGGCTATAATTTAAGTTTTGAACCATGATTGAGACCTCAAATGCATTTAAGATAACCGCTTGCACTTGGGACTAGTGAACCAACCTATGATGGTTTTAGAATGCAAAAAATAAAATAAATTAATTAAATTAAAAAAAAATCCACCTGTCTACCCTTTTCCACATGAGCAATCAAACTGAACGTACAAGTGATATAACAAACTTATCTGTATGACGTGATAGCAATAGCAAAGCAGAGACCACACCACTCAAAGACACGCACACAAGGAACGATTAAAACATTACAATATAAGGTGGCACCAAAAATAGTAATTGGATTGAGATTCATTTCTGACTCAAGTGAGAAACATATCCCAGGAAAAATCAGAAAAGATCATCTGATTGTATGGTGAAAAAAAGTTAACCATATTCCTACAAAAACCTAGCACTGTGATTTTTGTTACTTGGTGGGTTTGGATATAAAAATAAAGTCAATTTTAGCAGAATCCACCTATCGTCAAGATAAATTAAAGTACAATCGAGAGAGAAGCTACTGGAGAAGGAAAAAGAATAAAGGAAAAAACAGGTGTAAACTAGTCAAGGGGTTGATACCAAACACGGAGATATTAAGCAACGGGAGTTCTCAAATTCAAATGATCGGTGCCAAATTAATAGGGCGTGTCATTACCAACAAGAGACGGCAAGTTGAATGCTATTCTTGTAAACCAAAACAATCCATAGTTGCATGTGCTTTCCAGAAGTCACATGCATAGGGCGTAATCATTTAGAAATAACAACGAAGACAAATTTAAACAACTACCCTAGTGTTTATGCATTTTTCAATAATTTAGTCTCAACTTAGTTCCTTTTGATTTAATATTTTTCAATTATATCATTCTCATCCATAAATGTTAAAATTTACTGATGATAAGTTTTCATGATATGATATTTAGAGAGTTGGCAAAAATTTAAAATGGAAACTATGCAAATGTCAAAATTTTTACCAACTTCTTAAAAATATGGAGGTCAAGTTAGAAAATTTCCTTACTTAAATGCCGTAATTCCTTTTCTAAATTTAAATTTTTGTCAACTCACCAAATATCATACAATCTAAACTTATCATAAGTCAATTCTAACATTTACCGATGTAAAGGACATAACTGAAAAAAACATAATAGATTGAATTGAAGAAACAATCAAATATTAGAGATTTGCACATATTTAGACCCATAAAAACTAACAAATTTAGCTGAGGTTTATTTAGATTTTCACATATGCAAAGCTGATGGTGACAACGTGAACATTGAAAGAAAGGATCTATCAAAGATATAACAAAAGAAAATGGAAATTTAGGACGTGGAAAGAGATCCAAATGCCCCCAATAGCTAAAAATCAACCGTTGAAAATCGGCAGAGCATCAGAGAACAACTTATGAAAATGAGATTCGGGAGGAGGATTTCATCACCAAGATGATAATATTGAAACACTGTAGTTGCAAAGCTTGATATGTTGAGACTACCAGTTTACTTATTAAAATGCTCATAGAAAGAATGCCCGTTGACTCCTACAGCATAGAAGCTTACTTTTAACGATCAAGCATCTATATATTCAGCTTACCATAAACATATCCCACTTCCGTTTTTATTTTATTTATTTATTTATTTTTAGAATAAAACAAACTCTTCACATTAAACTTAGAAGGCAAAACTCAATGTTGTTAGAGTAAGTGTATATAGATCCATATCTTCATAGGGAAGATGAATGTTCAGAAACATAAAATCACACAATTGTGTTTCAGCAGAAACACCTAAACAAAATATAACTTTTCTTTTTTTAGTTCAAACCATTAAAAGTGGGGGATCAAACTATCTTTGGGATGTTAATTGGTATCTTATACATTGAACTATGCTTGGATTTGCCTAAACATATTATATCACAAGCTATGTATGGCAAGCTGCTCGCTTGAAACAATAAAGTTGACCTGTCCCTCTCCCTCATTATACACAAAACTCAATATGTAATAGGTTGAGACTGAGGTCTCCACCATGCTTCTCTAAAACATTCTTTCTTGTTGATAAGAAATCTAAAAAGTTCATCAAAATATGGAAAAACTATGTGGAACTGGAAACAGAAGCCACAAAACCTTATTTCTTCTTCGACATGACATGACCTTTCCCTAATCAATCACTATCATCAAAAGCCACAAAATTCCAAGTATTCATAAATTCAAATTTCTCCAGAAATTTTGTCAATCAACAAGTTGCATATATAAACAGACCTAATCCAAATCTCACGCAACCGACTTCGGATGCGACGTTGAAAACATGAGCCGAGATCAAATTAGGCATCAAAAGCTCTAATGAACAAGGAACCACATATCTAATCCCAATTCAGGCAATCAATCTAACTTATACATAAGAAATAGGAAGAAAATTGAAATAGATGCAAGAAAGCAAGGGGAAATGGAAGGTCTGACCTCCTTGGAATGGTGGAGGCACTCGAGATAATCTTCACGGAGTAGAGTACAGTCCTTTGGTTCTCGGCAGCGGGACATACAATCGCTGAAATCAATCCAGAAATCGTAGCATCGGCCCTTGTTCCCGGTTATTCCCCACCCTGACGCCATCGTCTGAACCTTTCGAGGTCACCGCTGAATCGGAATCTCTGATTTGTGAGCTACGTTTAGTGTGGCTGCAGCCGCTGAGGCCGAGTGGAAGTTACTAAAATGTAATCGGAGTCTGGTTCGGGTTTCCGGGGTAACAGTGGCAAAAATGGAATTTTGTTTTTTAATGACAAAGGGCTCACCGTAGTTTGAAATTTGTGATGTTTTTAAACTAAAATAAAATTAATACAAATATTTTTTTCTTCCCATTAATTTCAAAAATAGTTTTAAACTTTTAAAAAAATATATTTAGAATATCATTAAAACTTTTTTAAAAAATGGAAATGGTTAATGTTTTATTTCAAACAAAATATTACTTTGAAATTGTTAACTTAAAAAAAAAAAATTGTTTAGACTCTTCCATTTAAACTTCAAACACACTTCTAAACTTTAATATATATATATATATATATATATTTATTTATTTATTTACTTATTATTATTAGTAATCCGTTTCAAATATACTTATAAACTTTCAACCATTACATTAAAAAATTTGAAAATAATCTATATAAGGTGTCAATAAACAGTTTTCGTTCATATATTGACCATAATTTTTTTTTTTTTCTTTATAAAGGTAAAAGATGTTAATGTTATTTTTAAAATTTTGTACTAGAATGATATTTTCAAACTTTCAAAAATAATTTAGGAGTATTAATTAAACTTTTTGAGTTCAAAATTACTTTTGAAATATTATTAAAAAGTTCAATAATATTTTTGAAACAGTATCAATCTTTTCGTCCTTTAAAACTAATGATAAAGGTATTTTTTCAGACTTTTTTTTTTAAGTTGAAGGATATTATTGAAATTTTTAAAATTTTATAGGTATTTTCTGCCTAAATACAAAATTTAAAGATATTTCTTAAAATAATTACTAACTTAAAAATTATTTTAAAAAATTAAAACTCCAAATTACCCTTAAACCTTTTCCAAAATTAAGAATATGGTGCTTTCTATTTAATTTTGTATACTTTTTTTTTAACAAAAAGATCATCTAATTAAGCTTATCGCACATTTTGTTCTAATAAAAAATAAAATACAAAACTAAATTATATTTCGAACTTACACATAGCATTTACCTTTGAAAAGTTCTTATTTTCTCATTGTAATAACATTTTCTTCTTTATCAATTTTATAATATTTAAATATTTTAAATTAATTTTAAATAATTCGAATACATCCAATAATTGTGACTAATTGTTGGAAATAATTTATGTTAGGCATAATTTACTAGTTTTTGTAAACTTTCATTTGTAGTTATAATTAAACAATTAGTATTTATATAGTAATGTAGTTATATATTTGAAAGACGGGGGATTTATTTCTTAAATGGAACGTCTTAAAAATCATTAATTGTTAGGATAATTTGATTGGTCCATTATGCAAATTTAAGCTTTTTGGTTCGCTCTTCGGACACTCAATTGGCTCGACTTTTCTAGATAGTCATCACTAGTCCTTTTTCTTTCTAGACACGGCTTAGGTAGTGGTTGTGCTTCCTACCCGGATGCTTTCCCCAAAAAGGAAAAAAAAAAAGAAAAAGCGGATGAAGTCGAAATACAAGAAAAAAAACACAAGAAGGGAGGAGGAGTGCAATCTTATACCTCAGATATAGTTTCATGCCACCGAGTGGACCCTAGGGGAGTTCGACTATAAGGTCAAAAAGAGGAAAGAGAGATCAACCCGTGAGGGAATGCACGATAAGGAGAATATGTCAAAATCTTTATGCTACGATGGAGGTCACCTCGGGATGAAATGTATGACATTATCCCCACAATATCAACTAAAATTTAAAATCGCAAATATTTTCGTATTACATGGTGATAAGAGTAAGAGATTAATTTTTTGACTTTTAAAATAGTAATTGATGCCTTATCTGCTATCTCAAATTAAGAGAAACATGATTTTAGTTTCAATCTACAGTAAAGTTCAAATATAAACAGGTCGATTAGGGTAGACACGAAACAGTGTGTCAGTAAAGAGGCTGGACTTGAAAGGGGTTGATTGTAAGATTAGGCCTTAGTTGAGAGGAGAACAAAACATTGGTCAGAAATTAGTGGAACCTGTCCAAGAACAATATATGATTTTTTTTTTTTTTTTTTTTTTTTTTT